CCTCCCCTCCCACCCTTGTTATTCATAGTGCGCCTCCCATAGCACAATGCTCACGTCTGGGCGCTGAAGGGGTTAACTCGGGAATTGTAACGTCAAGTTCTGTGCCGTGACAGGGCTCGCTTTTCCCACGCTCCTACTTTACAAAATAAAGTTCGCGAAACCTCTGTGGTGCCCCTCCCTCCCTCGCTCGCCCCCCCTCCCCCCCGAGAAAAAAGGGAGCCCCCGTGTCACCCACCCACCCACCTTCCCTTCCACCCACCCACCCGTCTATGCGCTTACCCACCCACCCATCAACCTCCCAATCCCGCCACTAAATTGATATGCTTAGCCACCCCCCGAACCACCACTACCACTACCATCAGCATAGTCATCATCATCACCACTATTGTCATAATCATCAACACCATCGTCATCAACACCATCGTCATGGCATTCACCATCAGCATCGTCGTTATGACCATCATCATCATTGCCTTCATCGCCACCATCATTATGACAATCACCACCACCATCATCGCCACCATCATCATCATTATGACATCATCGCCACCACCACAATCATCATCATCGCCACCATCACCAGCATCATCACATCACATCGCCCAGACCACCACCCCCACTCACCACCACCACCCCCACCACCACCACCAGCCCCATCTCTCGCCCCCTAAAACCTCTCACACCCCCTGCCCGCGCCCCGCAGCCAGAATGAGTCATCATTTGAACGTGAGCCGCGTGTGTAAGACGCGCGGGTAGGAGCGCTGGCTGAGTGGGATTTGAGACGGTGATTAGAGACGGGACGGTGGGAGGGGAGCGGTCGAGGAGTTGTTGGGGGGGGGTAGAGTGAGAGTTGGGAGCGGGTGGGGAGATCGTTTTGCCGCTTGTCAAAGTCTAGGGGGGGTCGTGGAGGGGGTAGGGCGGTATATACTGCGGGGTTGGCAGACAGCGTTGGCACCGATAATCTTATTTAGAATGTGGTGTACGCCTTTTGGCGTCCTCTGGTCTAGCGCCGTTTTGAGACGAGGCTCAAAAGAAAGCTGTCTCTGGTGTGGACCAATCAGGTTCAAAGACAATGTATATTTTTTCAGAGTGTTTTTATATTTGCATTCTGACCACAAGTTCTGTGGTTAATGCAGACATGATTCCTTGTAAAAGGTTTTAGTTTGGTGTTTTAACATCTTAACACACCTGTTTTGTTGCCACATAAAAAGGGGAAAACCTATTCTCTAATATTTATAATAATACAAATCGTAATGTTTGTATATTTGTTACCATCAAAAGAAGTTGATTGTAACGAGCTGCGCGTGGTGTTGGCGGTGGTTGTGTCGAGCTGGCCAGCAAGCGACCTCCGCTCAAACAGCGCGGGGAGTCGCCTTGAGAGAATCAGAATCTTTATTTGGACTGCAGGAGGAATCCGATGAGCTATGAGGCTCTTCACAGATGGCCAATAGGGGCGATCGCACGCGGCCGGGTGGAGGCGGGCTACACGACCAAATTGCTCATTTGGGGCCGGATCATTCATATAAACGGCAAAAATACCATATTAATGAACATTAGTTTTGCTTTATTCATTCACCGTTGTGTCTACCTCCACATATGCCAGGTCCTGTTTCTCATTTCTCCTCTGACTTGCTGGGTTTTTTTTTCCCTCCGTGGCTCTCCGGTTCCATCCCACCACCGAAACCAAAACTCCTCGCCCCCCTTTCGTCTTTCCGAGCAGCTTTCGAGGTTTGCCAAACGTCGGCGAGCACGTGACCCCCCCCCCCCCCCCCGAGCTCGTGACCCCCCCGAGTTCGTGACCCCCCGAGCTCGTAACCCCCCCGAGCTCGTGACCCCCCTGAGCACGTGACCCCCCCGAGCACGTGACCCCCCCGAGCACGTGACCCCCCCGAGCTCGTGACCCCCCTAAACTCGTGACCCCCCCCGAGATCGTGACCCCCCCGAGCTCGTGACCCCCCCCCCGAGCACGTGACCCCCCCGAGCACGTGACCCCCCCGAGATCGTGACCCCCCCGAGCTCGTGACCCCCCCCGAGATCGTGACCCCCCCCGAGCACGTGACCCCCCCGAGCACGTGACCCCCCCGAGCACGTGACCCCCCCGAGATCGTGACCCCCCCCCGAGCACGTGACCCCCCCTAGCTCGTGACCCCCCCCCCCGAGCTCGTGACCCCTCCGAGTTCGTGACCCCCCCCCGAGCACGTGACCCCCCCCGAGCACGTGACCACCCCGAGCTCGTGACCCCCCCGAGCACGTGACCACCCCCCCTAGCTCGTGACCCCCCCCTAGCTCGTGACCTCCCCGAGCACGTGACCACCCCGAGCTCGTGACCCCCCCGAGCACGTGACCCCCCCCCCCTAGCTCGTGACCCCCCCTAGCTCGTGACCCCCCCTAGCTCGTGACCCCCCCCCCCGAGCTCGTGACCCCTCCGAGTTCGTGACCCCCCCGAGCTCGTGACCCCCCTCCCGAGCACGTGACCACCCCCCCGAGCTCGTGACCCCCCCCCCCCCTCCGGATAAAACCTCGCGGTCGTCGCCATGGGCGTGATCGTTATGAAAGGTTGAACGGGTGAAGGCGCAGCCCTGCAAGTGCTCACTTAACGCGGCTGCTGGCGGGAGGGCCTCCCGCTAGAGGGAGCGCTCGGGAAGGGGTGTTTGGCCTACTCATCCACTCAGGCCGGGCGTCGATCATCGCCCTAACTGTAATGAACCCGTTTAGACTGCGGGGTGGACAGAGGCAGTGGCGGTGTGACAACAACAACAACTGTTGTAACAACAACAGTTGTAGCAACAACAATTGTAACAACAGCAATTGCTGTTGTTACAATTGTAAGAACAGCAGCGACAATTGTGCGACTGAGCTTGTCCGAGTGCTCTGTGTCGCACGGTTTGCGTGTGTCGTTGCACGTGGTTGCATGTGGTTGCATGTGGTCGTAGCTGGTTGCATGTAGTTGTGCGTGGTTGTAGCTGGTTGCATATGGTTGCGCGTAGTCGTAGCTGGTTGCGTGTGATCGCGCATGATTGCGCGTGATCGTAACTGGTTGCGTGTGATTGCACGCGGTTGCGCGCGCGTGGTCACGTGTTGGTGTACGTGGCCGCGCGTGGGTCACGCATGTCGCTGCAAGTGGTCGCATGTGGGAGAGACGGTCGCGTATTCCTGCAGGCGGTTGCGCGCGTGGGGTTTGTATGGTGGGGGGGGGGGGGTAGTAGGGGGGGGTTATTGGTGGGGGGGGGGGTATTGGTGGGGGGGGGTAAACTTAACCAATGAGGTTCCGGGGCCCGTTCTTCTCCCTGCACACAAAAGCAAAAAAAAAGTAAGAAAAAAAAATTCTCGCCGCCGTCGCCGTCCACGCCGTCCCCTTCTCAATGGCTATTCATTGCCATGGAGAAAGCGTAACGTAGAACGGGGGTGGTGGCGTGGGGGGCTAGGTGGGGTGAGAATGCGGGGAGAGTGGTGGTGGGTGGGTGGGTGGGGGTACTGATTTACATCTCCCCGTTCTGTCCCACCACTCGCACGACCGCCGCGTCAATGGCTGTCCATCAGCGGCCGCCACTGGCTATGGCTATGGCGGTGGTGGTGATGGTGGTGATCGTGAAGGCAGCATCAGCAAATGTATCGGGCCTGGATGGTTCACGCGTTCGAGTTGTGTGCGATGGAGCGGTGGGTGCGGTGGTCAGCGCGCCTGCTGCGCTCCGAACCCGGCGACCCGAGTTCGATTCCCGCTCGCGGCCACCAACACCAAGTGACGGTTATATTATCTGAACCGGTTCTGGGCCTCTCCTAGGTCGACTTAGCTTCAAATTAGTAACTGGTGTGATGTGTGAACATTGACACTGGGGAGACAAAGGCGGCCGGGCGTGGTGTTGGCCACCCACGCACCTCGTGTGTCGTGCCGGGTTTCATAGGTGCTCGCTAACAGCACTTGCCTCAACAGTCTGTTAAGGCTATAGGGGGGTCTTTGTCTTTGTGAGTTGTGTGGGGAGCGGTGGTGCAGCGGTTAGCGTGCCTGCTGTGCTACGAACCCGGCCACCCGAGTTCGATTCCCGCTCGCGGCCACCACCAACACCGGTGATGACGATTATCAGAACCGATCCTGGACCTCCCCCGAGGTCGCCTGCAACCGTCCACCGAGCCGATGTCATCGTCGCTCCATCTCTGCCGGGGACACAGCCCCCAAGAGCGTTACCTCCTGAGGGCTGCCACTGTTTGTAGTCTCGAGCAAGCGGGCCATCATCAACATCATCACCATCATCACCATTATCATCACCATCATCATCAACATCATCATCACCACCATCATCATCATCGTCACCACCATCATCATCATCGTCACCACCATCATCATCATCGTCACCACCATCATCACCACCATCAACATCATCAGCACCATCAACATCATCACCACCATCAACATCATCATCACCATCAACATCATCACCACCATCAACATCACCACCACCATCATCATCACCACCATCACCATCATCACCATTATCACCATCATCATCACCACCATCAACATCACCACCATCACCATCATCATCACCACCATCATCACCACCATCATCACCACCATCATCACCATCATGGCCATCATCATCATCATCACCACCATCATCATCACCACCATCATCTTCATCACGGTCATCGCCTTCATCGTCACCACCATCGTCATCATCACCACCATCATCATCCCGTCCAGTCAGCCGAACACGAAGTGCCCAGTGCGATGTGTAAACATCAGCAAACGAGGCGTTTGTGTTAACGGAGCTGACAAAACGCCTACAGACGAGGGCAGAGGGACCGATACGAACGAAACGGTCAAACAAAAACATTGAAACCAAACATAAATAATAATGGACTCCTGAACCGGAACCGCGGTTCCTAAATCGTCACGATTCATCGAGTCGCGAGCGGTGTGCTTTGCACTTTAACAAAACGTCATCGTCTTTAATCATCGTAACAATAACCCTCGAATTCTGGCTCTTTTCTTTCGACCGCAGATGTTGTGGCGCGTGAACTGCGACAGCGCCAAAGGAGGACTGCGAAACCGAGAGACCGCTGGAGGATTCCGCTCGCCAACGGAAGGACGGAGTAGACGAGGAAGAAAAACCTTGCTCCCGCATAGAACCCCGCTAAGAAGTTGTTGCCCCCGGACGTATTTCGTACGCGATAATGACCCGAAATTTCGATTGAAAGCTTTCGTGACTGCAGGGATTCATCTTCTTGGTTATTTCGGTAAAGTCACGTAGAAGGGAAATAATAAAATAATAAAAATAAAACAATAAAATAATTCTCACGACGTTTCAGCTACAACGCAAGCAGCCGTCCTCGGGTGAAGAATGAGGACGGCTGCTTGCGTTGTGGCCGAAACGTCGTGAGAATTATTTTATTATGTTTTATTTTTATTATTTTATTATATCCCTTCTATGTGACTTTACCGAAAGAACCAAGAAGATGACCCGAAATTTGGAGCGGCGTGGCGAGACGACATCATGCGTGGTGACGTCATCACCCCCCCCCCCGCAATGACGTCGTTCGCGGGTGATGACGTCACAAGTGGTGATGACGTCGCCCCCGCAATGACGTCATTCGCGGGTGATGAGATCACCGCACAGTGATGTCATCGCCCGCAAATGGCGTCATCGCCCTGGCTGGCAAGACAAATACTTTTTAGCGCTGGTTCTTTAGTCGCCAAGTTCTGAGTGATTCGTCAAGTTTGGCTATGGGGGTGGGGGGGGAGGTAAAGTTCCTTAGAAGATCTTCTTGGTTCTTTCGGTAAAGTCACGTAGAATGGGAATAATAAAATAATAAAAATAAAACATAATAAAATAATTCTCACGACGTTTCGGCCACAACGCAAGCAGCCGTCCTCAGGTGAAGACCAGGTCTGTCGGAAAGACAGCGTCTGAATAGAAGAGCCAAGACAATTTAATATTAAACCTCCTTTCTCGCCACGGACCATCTTCACGTGACGGCACGCGTTACGTACGTGCGCGTGTGTACGTACGTCTAACTTATTTCGCCACCGTAGGAAGCCAATGGCGGTCGGTGCTGACGCTTGCCCAACGCGCTCCGGCGTGCGAGGAAAGGCCCTGGTTTGTTTCCGTATGGGGAGTTAAACGATGAATTGGGAATGTAAATCGGTTCACAGTCGGTACTTGGGCTCGGAGTTTGATGGCAGCTTCATTTTTTGTTGTTGTTGTTGCTTAAAATCAAACCGCGAGCCCAGTATTACATCGCTGAAGATGCCCCGCTTTGGGAAAAAGGTGCGCCGCAATATTGTCTACACAAAAGCAACGACCTCAATTTGACAATCATTTAGGATGCATTGAAAATGTATTGTGCAAAAGAGGACACGTAAAACATTGATAAAATAAATTAAGAGCAATATTTAAAATGTGCAGTCCTGTACAAATGTGGTTATAAAAGCCCCCCCCCCCCCCCCCCGCATGACATCGGGCATGGTTGGTTGTTCTGTCCATACTTCACCACGCTGGTCAGTGTGGGATATCGCTCGCCACCGATGTGAGCCGTGGCCAGGAATTTGAACGCGGGTATGTCCTGTTTCACGGTCCGAGTGCGCCAACCGCTGCACCATCACTCCACTGCTGGATGAAGGCCTTCCACACGCTGTCGCCACGTCCATCGTGTGTACGTGCAGCGGTGCCAAATAAAATTGATATTAAAGATAAAACTAACTTGAGCGAATTTGCGCCATTTTGCTTCCCGCTCGCGGCTCACCACCGCTCTCTGGATGTGCCAATCAAACTAAACAGTCGCTTTTGAAAGGAGTCGGCTGTGACGATCCCCGCGTAATACACAACGTACGTATGAAGCGCAGAAAAAATTAGAACTCAAATTAACGTCGCGAGAGGCAATTTCAACGTCGCTTCTGTCGACCAACCGAATTGAACGCCTTCATTTTATTATATTTTTTGGTCGTAGGAGATATTTTATTTTTAAACCACGATCATCAATTAACGGGGGGGGGCAGAGAGCCCGACCCCCATCCCCCCCGACCACCCCCCCAGATTCCGTTCTTGTGCCGAGAAATTTTGATTCGGAACCTCGTGCCAATCCGGTGCTCCTTGCCGGAGGGCACCTGGGGGGGGGGGTGTCTTTATTTGGCCTACTCTTCCACTCTGGCCGGACATGTTGGAGTAGTCGGTGGGTGGGAGAGTAGCCACACTTCTTTACGCCACCACACGTGACCTGCCGACTATAACCGAGCGGCACCCAATGCCACAGTCTTCATCGCAGTATTGTACGCACACAAAAAAAATCGCGTTCAATGAAAGATTTGGCCTTTTTAAAATCCTTTATATTAAGTTCGCTTGCTTGCTTGCTTGCGTGCTTGCGTGCTTGCTTGCTTGCTTATGACCGTGCAAATCTTTCGGTCGTTTTTTAACCCACTTCCCGTGATCCAATCGAGCTGACATTTTCCACACAGACTCGTTGTGGTGACAATTAATTTTCCTGAAAATTTTTGTTACAAAATTTTACACTCTTTAGGGGAATTTTTTTAAATATTTAATTACCAATTGCTTAATGCTGGCAGACAATCATCTGACCCATAGGTGGCAGACATCTCAAGCCAGAGGACGAGAGGACTCTAGCCGCCACGCATATAAAGGATCTAGAGTGAAAAACTTTGTTTTTACGGGTTAAATTTTTATACATGCAATGCAACACATGTATTTTATGATTTCATATTTTATTATTTGTTTATATGCAGCTTGGGGAGAGGGGGGGCGGTAGCGGGTGGGACGGCGGCTTGCGCGCTGCGCTGTGAACGCGGACACCCGAGTTCGACTCCCGGCCGTGGCTGACATCAGAGGTGGCGAGCGAGTGACACCCAAAACCGATCCCGGACCTCCACGTCTCCCTCGCAAACTCTCGCTGACCATCGAGGTGAAGTATGGTCAAACAAAACCCACATCATCCATGCGCCGTGGGAGGGGGGAGGGAGGCCACTCATCCAGCAGCGGATCGATAATAGGGCCGTTTGTGTCGTCACGTGACGAACACGACCGCTCGATGACACAATTGTGTAAATGTTCATGGTAAAAAAATATCACGATTGAAATAAAGAAACCAGACGTTGGGCCTTGGCGCGTTGCTAAACGCTTCAAAGTCCACGTGACGATTCAGCTTGATTGGCCATGTCGGGTGGTGGAGGGTGTTACGACACAAATCCGGCCTTATCGTTAGCAACGCGGCCAAACCAAAAGCAATTAAGAATCTAAACCTTTGCTGCGATGTAACCATCCACTTAATTTTGACAACCTTGGGCGTTGTATGTGTGCACGTTGAACTTCTTTCGCACCATACGTAGCGAACCGCGCTAATCGGAGGTGCGGGGGGAAGGACAACAAACTAACCACAAAAACCAGTGCCGAAGAAATTCGTTTTCAATCAAGACGACTTCAAAGTTGCATAGCTCCGGTAGGCTTCCTAACAACATTGAAAGGAAGAGCGTTCCAGACGGCCGCAGAAGCGCACCTGAACGGCGGCGACGCGGCCACGATCTCTGTCCAATCAGCCAGCCAAAATCCGCTGCTCCTCCGGCTGCTGCTGCTGCTGCTGCGAGGGCTACTGGAGTTCGGGTGACGATGGTTGATGCACCCCTCGACGAGATCGGTGGCGCGGCGGTTGCGGTTCGTTTGTGGCGAGCGCCTCCGCGTCGTTTGGAGACGCGGCGATGAAGACGGACGGGGAGATCGCGAATTTACCGGAGCTGAGGGATTTCACAACGGGAGTCGCTGGACGCGGCGCCCTTCTAAAAACTAGAACTAGAAAGGAAACTATAGACTTTTTCGATGTAAAGCTTTCGTGACTGCATGGATTCGTATGCTTGGTTCTTTCGGTAAAGTCACGTAGAAGGGAAATAATAAAATAATAAAAATAAAACGTAAGATAAAATGCTCACGACGTTTCGGCCACAACGCAAGCAGCCGTCCTCAGGTGAAGAACAGGTCTGTCGGAAAGACAGCGTCCGACAGCCCTGTTCTTCACCTGAGGACGGCTGCTTGCGTTGTGGCCGAAACGTCGTGAGAATTTTATCTTATTATGTTTTATTTTTGTTATTTCCCTTCTACGTGACTTTACCGAAAGAACCAGGAATATAAACTAGAGACTATTTGTTATTTTACCAGGGAAGGCCCATTGAGCTGTGTAGCTCTTTTTCGGAAAGTGACGGGCCACAAATGATAGCTAACCGGAAGTGGCTTATGATCACGTGGACATTTCTTAGTTAAATACCAAATGCACTAAACACGTGATGTTCATTCTTTAAATGTCGACGGAAAAACCGGGGGACTTGGAGAAAAATCAACGTGACCATGCGGAGAGAGAGACACGCAAACTCCAAATATACAGCAGGCATCAGGACTTGGATCGAACCCACGACCTCCTGTATACCAGGCGAGGGAGTTAGCTAACTATTTTTACTTTGTATTTGATCACGTAAGGCCCACTGATCTATGTAGCTCTTTTTCAGAAGCGCCGTGGCCACATGATAGCTCAGCGAAGTGGCTTATCACGTGGACATTTATGGCAGTAGTCAAATATTCTAAACGCGGGATGTCGATTCTAAATGTGGAGTGAAAAAACTGGACGACCCGGAGAAAAATCCATGCGACCATGGTGAGAGAGAGACACCGAAACAAATACACAGCAGGCGTCAGGGTCGGGATCAAATCCACGACCTCCTGAATACCAGGCGAGGGAGTTAACATCTCATAGCCCCCGTGATGATCATGATGAGAGAGAAACACCGAAAACTCCAAATATACAGCAGCAGGCGTCGGGGTCGGGATCAAATCCACGACCTCCTGAATACCAGGCGAGGGAGTTAACATCTCATAGCCCCCGTGATGATCATGATGAGAGAGAGACACGCAAAGTCCAAATATACAGCAGCAGGCGTCGGGGTCGGGATCAAACCCACGACCTCCTGCATACCAGGCGAGGGAGTTAACATCTCATAGCCCCCGTGATGATCATGATGAGGGAGAGGAGGAGGAGGAGGGGGGGAGGAGGGGGGGCGAGGAGGAGGAGGGGGGGGCGAGGAGGAGGAGGGGGGGGCGAGGAGGAGGAGGGGGGGGCGGGGAGGAGGGGGGGGGGAGGGGGGGCGAGGAGGAGGAGGGGGGGGGCGAGGAGGAGGAGGGGGGGGGGCGAGGAGGAGGAGGGGGGCGAGGAGGAGGAGGGGGGGCGAGGAGGAGGAGGGGGGGCGAGGAGGAGGAGGGGGGGGCGAGGAGGAGGAGGGGGGGGCGAGGAGGAGGAGGGGGGGGCGAGGAGGAGGAGGGGGGGGCGAGGAGGAGGAGGGGGGGGCGAGGAGGAGGAGGGGGGGGCGAGGAGGAGGAGGGGGGGGCGAGGAGGAGGAGGGGGGGCGATGCGCCTCTCACTCTGCGAGACTCACGGAGCGCTCGCCTCCGCGTCGCTCTCGAAACGACGCCGCGAACGCAGCCGGGAAGTCAAATCCTCTCCCCCCTCTCCGTTCCCAATCGCCGACCGCCTCTCTCTGCGCCTCCCTCGCCCTGCTGTTGATGCTGCGATCGTGCGCTCTCTCGCCCTCTCTCTCTCCTGCTCCCTCTCCTGCTCCCATCCACTGGAGCCAACTCCCACTACAGCACACGGAGCAGTCGTCTTCACTGTAACAACGACGACCACGACGATGTCGGCCTGCAGCTTCAGCTCGGCGTTAAAACGACCGCCGTCTCTTCTCTTTCCCTAGCCCCATTCTGCACCTCCTACCAGCCCCTATCACTACCCCTATCACTACCCCTACCCCTATCACTATCCCAACCCCTATCACTACCCCTACCCCTATCACTATCCCAACCCCTATCACTACCCCTACCCCTATCACTATCCCAACCCTATCACTACCCCAACCCCTATCACTACCCCAACCCCTATCACTACCCCAACCCCTATCACTACCCCAACCCCTATCACTACCCCAACCCCTATCACTACCCCAACCCCTATCACTATCCCAACCCCTATCACTACCCCTACCCCTATCACTATCCCAACCCCTATCACTACCCCAACACCTATTACTACCCCAACCACTTTCACTACCCCTATCACCACCCCTATCACTACCCCAGCCCCTATCACTACCCAACCCCTATCACCACCCAACCCCTATCACTACCCCAGCCCCTATCACTACCCAACCCCTATCACTACCCCAACCCCTATCACTACCCCAACCCCTATCACTACCCCAACCCCTATCACTACCCAAACCTCTATCACTACCCCAACCCCTATCACTACCCCAACCCCTATCACTACCCCAACCCCTATCACTACCCCAACCCCTATCACTACCCCAACCCCTATCACTACCCCAACCCCTATCACTACCCCAGCCCCTATCACTACCCAACCCCTATCACTACCCCAACCCCTATCACTACCCAAACCTCTATCACTACCCCAACCCTATCACTACCCCACCCCTAACACTACCCCAACCCCTATCACTACCCAAACCTCTATCACTACCCCAACCCCTATCACTACCCCAACCCTATCACTACCCAAACCTCTATCACTACCCCAACCCCTATCACTACCCAAACCTCTATCACTACCCCAACCCCTATCACTACCCCAACCCCTATCACTACCCCAACCCCTATCACTACCCCAACCCCTATCACTACCCCAACCCCTATCACTACCCCAACCCCTATCACTACCCCAACTCCTATCACTATCCCAACCCCTATCACTACCCCAACCCCTATCACTACCCCAACCCCTATCACTACCCCTATCACTACCCCAACCCCTATCACTACCCCTATCACTACCCCAACCACTATCACTACCTCTACCCCTCCTTAACCACTCCCACAATCACACCTCCCTATGTTTTAATAACAACCCCACCCTTCGTGTCACTGTCGACTTACAATGTTATAATTTGTGTGAAGCGCCTCGGACGAAGGCGCCGCTGCTAGACGCATCTACTCTATATCAGGTGTATCATTAGAGGAGTCCAATGGAGCCACAAACAATAAACAAAACAAACATAGATTCGCCTCTTACACACACAAGGTTTCCTTTGTTTTTCTGAGACACGTTTGGCGACGCGGTGTCGTCGAACCGGTTTTTTTTACGAAGTCGCCGTGAACCGGTTTTTTTTACGAAGTCGCCGTGAACCGGTTTTTTTTACGAAGTCGCCGTGAACCGGTTTTTTTTTACGAAGTCGCCGTGAACCGGTTTTTTTTACGAAGTCGACGTGAACCGTTTTTTTACGAAGTCGACGTGAACCGTTTTTTTACGAAGTCGACGTGAACCGGTTTTTTTTTTTTACGAAGTCGCCGTGAACCGTTTTTTTTTTTTACGAAGTCGACATGAACCGGTTTTTTTTTACGAAGTCGCCGTGAACCGGTTTTTTTACGAAGTCGCCGTGAACCAGGAACAGCGTCGTTCCCGTCGCCTCGTTACCCTCACGATGAGTCACCAGCACTGCGGTAAACGGCTGTGTTCGATTCTAGATTTGAAGCTTTCGTGACTGCAAGGATTCATACTCTTAGGTTTTTTCGGTAAAGTTACGTAGGTAAAAAATAAAAATAGATATAAAATAATAATAAATCAATTAAATCACGACGTTTCGGAGGCAACACAAGTCTCCGTCTTCAGGTGGAACCGTCACAGCTACAGTAAATTAGTAATACAGTAAATTTAGCTGTGACGGTCCCACCTGAAGACGGAGAATTGTGTTGTCTCCGAAACGTCGTGAGTTAATTGATTTATTATTATCATTTTTCTATGAGATTAATTTTTTATGATTTATTATTATTTTATTTCTATTATTTTTATTTTTTACCGACGTGACTTTACCGAAAAAAACCTAAGGCTGTGTTCGAATCCGTGTTTCAGTCGCCTCGTTATTAAACCGAGCCCTTTTAAAAAAAAAAAAAGTCGTGAGCGATTTGATGGTCTGAGCTTGTGCCGCCGATGACCGCTGTTCAAAAATAACATCGAACAAAACCCATCGCGTAAAAATGTACTTCTGTACTGAACTTGACTCAATTCCAGCTGTGAGAATTAAATATCGGGTTTGACCGTCCACGTGACGAGCATTAACTCCCGCTTCTATCGCGGGTGGAAAAGTTCTAGCCTCGATTCTGTGTGGCAAGGCCGTAATTATAATATAAATATGTTGAAATGTCCCCCCCCCCACCCCCAATATATTTCTATAAACAATATGAAAAAAAATTATATGGTATGTAAATAAAAACAACAATTTGCTAAACATTGGCCACAATATCTGGACTTGCTTGTCTTTATATAACAATGCATATATTTATTTTCATATGATTGTGGTTATGGTTGTACTTTATTAATCCCTAATCTCTGCCATTACATACAATGAAACAAGGAAAGGTAAAAAGACAGAGCAATGTAATACAATACACTATTAGACATTGTAAAAAAAAAAGTCCATCCCATGTGTTAGTGAATTTTTTTATATTTTAGGCAGGAAATGAATTTTCACATTTAGATTTTTTTTTCTGGATGTGGGACCCCCAGACCCCCTGGAAGATTTAGTTCCCCCCAATGTTGACTCCATGGCTACAGCCTTGCTGTGTGGACCAGAGGTCATTTGAAGAAAGAAATCTCAGAGGCGGCTCTGTGCTATCCAGTTCCGCGGGACCATTTTGTGTGGACCAGAGTGTTGATCTGAAGACGGAAATCTCAGAGGCGTTTCTGTGATATCCACTTCCGCGGGACCATTCTGCGTGGACCAGAGTGTTAACCTGAAGATGGAAATCTCAGTGGCGTTTCTGTGATATCCAGTTCCGCGGGACCA